TGTGTCACCCCTGCAGAGTGGAGCTCTCCCCTAGTCCCTCACCTTCCATCCATCAGAGATAAACGTAAATACTTCAGAGAGGAGAGTATAGATACCAGGAATCCAATTGACATTTCGAAAAACGGGCGTCGAAAAATTCAACTGAATTTCAAAGATGAAGTTTCTGAGCAGGGATTGATCAGAGTCGGCTTATGGGAATAAATACAGCGAAAATTAGACTTGGAAAGTGATATGGATCAGAAATTGGAAATTTTAACAAAAAATATTCGTATCTAAAATTCCAGAGATAGGGAAAATAATTAGGAATTAAATCCCCCTGAATTTTTTTGCAGGGAATTTTAGGTATATAAGATACCTTATATCATTTATATATTAATTAGACAAGAAATTTCAGGCTTTAAGGATAAGAAAGATAAAGAATGTATTGAAACTTCAGTTTGGATATTAGTTAGAGAAAGTAGTTTGGGTCGTAATGGGATCATAGCTTGTATATTACTTAGAGAAAGTAGTTAGGATCATTAATGGATCATAGTGAAATGATGCTATTAGAGGTTGGATTGGATAATTAGATAATATGGAAACAACCTTATCTCAATACTGATGATGATGATGATGATGATGATGATGATGATGCTGATGATGATGATAATCATGATGATGATAACAACGATGACAGCGCCGATGATGATGATGATGATGATGACGTCGCTGATAATGCCGCAGATGAAGATGATGATGATGATGAAGGTGATGACGGCAGTTGATGATTACCCTTGATGCTGCTGAATCCTTTGTCGTCCTTGTTAACACACTCGTCTCCTCCTCATATTATCTCCTGCTTGCATGTCGGTCCAGCTGGCCGCGAGAGAGCAAGGAACTTCCGTCGCCTGCTGGTTCCCTCGTTCTTTGCGAGAACCCCTTCAGCACCATAAACCCGTTATGGTTGCTTCAAGGTGACCCACACACTACGTGGAGATGGCGTCAAACCCTTCTCTATCCCACGTCACTTCTCACCGCATCGGAATAGTCAGCTCCTGAGGCTACTCACAAGTCCACCCGGCAGCAACCAGCGCGTGTCTCAGCACGAGCGCCTACCCCGGTGCGTCCCTGCGGGCGCTCCAGCCCTTCTCTATTCCAAGCCTGTCTCTTATACACATCTAGATGTGTATAAGAGACAGCTCTTCGCCACGTCGGATGAGGATAGCTCTTGAGGCTACTCACAAGTCCACCCGGCAGCAACCAGCGCCTTCCTCGCGTGTCTCAACGCGAGCGCATACTTCCCCGGTGCGTCCCTGCAGGCGCTTGGCAAGCGCGTCTTCGTCGTCCGTGAATCCCAACCCAGGGGCGCAGCGCTACAAGGAGCGCTGCGCCACAGAAAAAAAATGGAAGTTCCAAAATGGAAGTTCCATTTTGGGTTTTAGCTTAAGTGACAAGAGTCACATGAAACCCACGGAGGTGTTCCAAAATATCGAAATGATTTTGTATTTTGGGAACTTCGATTTTTCTTCTGATAGAAACACCATAGTTTATCTATTTTTTTATAGTTATTAAATCAAAAACCGGTTGAGTCATTGTTCAAGCGATTAATTTGAAATTGCAATTAAATGTACTCATACAAAACCATAATTTATTTCCACACAGATGACTGAAGCTTTGAGAACATATATGCAAATTTCCCAAAGTTTCGAGCTTTTTTTTTTTTTCTTTCCCTTTTTTTAGTTATCAAATTTAGTGAAAAAAAGGAAAACAAAAAAAAGGGTGAAGCTTAGGGAAATTTGCATATATATATATATATCGTCAAATAAAATATATATATATATATATATATATACAGGGTTGCCGACGTTCGGGAGGGGCCGAACGCCCGAACCCGAATGCCCGAACTTGAACGCCCGAACGTACGGGACCCCTTCGGAAGGCGTTCGGCCGTTAAGGCCGAACGCGGAATAGTATGCCAAGGGCGGAATAGTTATGTGCAGTAACGAACAAGAATGAGCCGTACGTGTTGGATGAAGGGTTGATATTCCAGAGTCTGCATAATTTTTGCTCCTACTCATCTAGACAACAAAAGATGGTTGTTATCGTATCATTCTAGCATAGAGCTAGATACATTAATAGTATTCCAGAGGCGGAGGGTTGTTTTCTGCTCACTTTGAAGGTCGAGCTTCGGCTGAGGGATTTTCCGGATGACTATTTCGACAGATCTCTGAGTATTTTTTCACGGAAATTCAACGGCCTCTGGGCAAGATGGGTCAGACGCTTTACGAATTGGAAGGGTCATCGGTATAAGCAGACAAGGCCTTTTTTGACAAAGGCCCCTCGCTCATTTGTTTTGCAGTAGGTCATTTCTTCAAGTCAGGGTCCAAGAGGTGTTATGTTTTCTAGAACATGGATATCTACGATTGGACTACCGGGTTCATAAACGTTTTGTGGGAAGGACTTGATACAGTGAATCCTAGCTAGCAGTTTGAAGACTTTGGTACTTATAGCAGTAGTGCAGTAGTGTTTCGTCATTTGTAGCCAGGATTGACCCCTTAGGAAGACCGGCTGGCGAACCGGTCGAAATGCGGCGTCGGGTCGCGTTGCCGCGCATCGTTATTTTGTCACTCTGTTTATTCAAGTAATGCGCACCTGCGCTTGGATTTTGGTCTATGAGTCGTCTTCTTCTTCTCCTTCTCCTTCCTAATCTTCGTCTATCCTACTTTTGTGCTTGTTATGATTGAACACTCTAACGTGCTTCATTACTCACAACAACCATCGTGACAGGTTACTACAATTGTGTGGTTGTGTTGACTGGTATTGCGGTGATGCTTTTGTGCCCGCTGGTTATTACCGGTTATATCTGTTCCGTCGTTTTCCCAGTTTTTACCTCTTGTTGATTGTATTCACTTCGTCTAATTACGATGAACTATGGGGGTCCAAGGGTGTGCCACCACTGTAGGCAACCCGGTCACTTTATTAGGGATTGCCAATTGACGCAAATCCCGAATGTCGCCGCTCTATTAGGCGGCAATGGGGGAGATGCGAACAGGGCTTCGTCGTCTCAAGACAATGATGGGTTGCTACCAGCACCAAACGCCATTGTGCCGTACAGAGCACCTGCGCAAGATAGAGGTCAGCAGGAGGGCAACCGTCACGGCACGAATCAAGGTTCTCATCAAGGCCACGGAGGATACAATAATCAAGGATACAATAGTCAGGGGAACAACAGCAGTTACAACAGCAGTTACAATCGGTCGGGGTATCAGCAGCGCCCGAGAAATGGTTAGGTGGACTACCATGAGAGAGACCAGGACGTGAAGTTTGACAAAGTATGGGGGTGGTACTCCGAAGAGATGGCAAGTAAGGAGAAGGAGAGATGTGCAAAGGAAGAGAAATTGAAGGAGGAGGAAGCGAAGAAGAAAGAACAGGAAGCTGAGGAGGAGCGCGCTAAGGCAAAAAAGGAGCACAAAGATTATGAAAAGTCATTGGGAAAAATGGTCAAAGATAACATGAAGGATGTGTGCCAAGAGGTGCTTGGGAAGAAGGCTAGCACGAGACGGGAAGCTACGACGGTGTCAAGTGAAGATGTGAGACGCAAATAACAAGAGGAAAGATGGCGACGAGAAGATTCGGCTGCTAGAGAGCAGTTGGATAAGCAGCGTAACGAAGAACTGGAGAAACTTAAACGGGAGAACGACGACCTCGTAAGAATGGCCACTAGGAGAGCCGGCAAGGAGCTGGACTCAATTAAGGCCACAAATCAGGCTCTGCTGCATGATGTCCTCGCACTGAGAGACGAGATGGAGCACCTGAAACGCGGCAGCAAACGAGGTGTGGAGGCAGTAACAGAGAAAACTCCTCCGGCGGAACCAGCGCGTGGAAAATCACGACAAGAGAAATCGTGCCAAACACCTGTTGAATGGGCCAAAATGGCGGACGCGTATAGACGGCTGCGTGATGAGAAGGACATGGCCGAGAGGGAAGTGTCCGTGCTCGAGGAACAAATCAATCGGATCAAGATTCTGTCTCCCTCGAGTTCGAAGAAGAAGAAGTTGTTTGTGCGAAGAAGGAGCAGTAAAGAAGGTATCAGTCCGACCAAGAAGACGGCGGACCAGGTGAAGGTCACATTTGTAAGGAAGATCGGAGAAGAGAAGGAGGTTTTCAACAAAAGGGTCAGCTGTGATCTAGCGAAGTTAAGGAAAGCGCAATTGGAGACGCTTTGCGCTGATAAAGCGATCGAGTACGCGGGTGTGAAGAAGACGGCTGGCGACTTGGCTGATATTTACACGGCCAGAGCGTACGGCCAACCTGTGAACAGATGTTTGGCTAGTGACAATGAGGACGACGAGCAGAACGATGAAGGCGACGATGATTCAACGGATGTCCCAGCCACGTCCACGGAGGTACCGGCAGCGTCGGAGACTTCGTAAGTTCGGCTCCGAGCGCCGGTCGTATCTATTCTCTTCTTACGTCTCTCCGAGATCGAAGACGTTCTAGTAGTGGTTCGTGTTTGCATGCTCTGAACAGTCTCTTCCGTTGCTATGTTATTCTTCTGATCTTATCATCGTCTTTACCTTGGGCCAACAAGTATGCGACCCACATCTCTGCTCTGGCGCGATCAGGTTTTGGCTTCAACAAGTGTTCAGGACCAGTAGTCTATCTTCTCGTCTCTCCTTGGTGCAAGCATATATATGTGGGGTGTAGCTCTCGATCACTAGATGTGCGATGGAAAGAGCACGTGCAGCGTGCAGGTTATCAAGGGAAGGATACTAATGTTAGGAATCATCAATTGTATCGATGGTTAAGAAGATACGGTGCGGAGAACTACGTAGCTATTCCTATTGCTAATCCTGCTATTCACGACCTGTTGTCTGTCGAATGCTACATCATCCGGTCTATTTCACTGTTTCTGAATAACCCAGGTCACTTGAAGGTTAGTGCGAATAAGAAGAGTAGGTTAGGTAAGAGGGAACGTCGTAAGAATAAGGTAGGGGTATGTTCAATCGAGGGAGGGAGTAAGCATGCCACTTTAAGTTGCTTCAGAACGCTATTTGGTTTGGTATCGGTATCGTTGGAAAGGATTTTGGAACGAGCTTTCGAAAAACAGTTATTGGAGTTTTCGGTAGAATGCTATGGTGGCAATGATCTGTGTGATAGGTGGAAGGTGCTGAAGAGGAAATTCGGGTCAACGGTTGTGGTATCGGAGAACGGAACATGTTTGTTGAAGAATGCTAAAGCACGGTTTGTGCCGAATAACAAGTTGGTTTTTAACAATGTTACGAGATTTTGTTCGAGCTTTGTTAACAGAAAACAGACGTTGATCCCTCTTCTCTCGACCCCTTCCTCCATAAAAGCGCTCTATAGTCGTAGTTTCGAGGAGTTGGTCGACGCATATTCCGCTATTCGATCGTTTTCTAAAAAAGATAGTACAATTACTCTACGGGGGGTTATTGCAAGGGTACTGAGCAATAAGTTCAAATTTAAGATTCGGTTCAAACCAGTTATTCATGTTCAGTATGATGAGAAGTTGTCGAAATCTAAGCTTCGTAAGTTGTGTGTTCGCTCGGTACGTGCTTCGGCGGTGAGGAAACCTTTGCAGGAAATTATCTGTAGGGGGTTGAAAATTATGTTTACTAAAAATAAGTCTGTCGCTGACCATATCCATAATTTTAGGAGGGAAGCTAGGTCTGAGCTACTCGTGTGTTCTTGTATGACTCGCCCTTGTCATTCTGTGCTCAATCGAAATACTGATGGTCATATTGCATGTCGTCTGTCTTCTATCGATGTTCACCCCATTTTGAAGAATTCCCGTAACATTCCCTATCCTAATCTCAGTGGTAACATCCCTGGTCTCTCTCAATCTATTCTTGCTTCTCTACAGTCGGTTCAAACTGATACTGGCCAATTCGATATTTCCAAGGCCGAACTCCAAGAATATTTCTCCACAAAAGGTAGTCACTCGAGGTACGGGGAATCAGACATTGCTGTGGTTAAGAGTTGGAAAGCCAGGACTGAAGGTTTGGTGGTCTGTGCTGTCGACCACAACCCAGGGGATACGTACGTATGCTGTCCAAAGTGTATCGCGACGGGTTGGAAACTCTTTTTCTCAGTAACAAAGGTTTTGTCCGTGTTGAAAAAAGTGAGGAGGTGGTCATTAGCGAAATAAAAGCGGATTACTTTCGTAGGAAGCTTCAGAGGTATGGATAATGGAACTACAAATGTGAGTTGGGCAAAGCTTATGGTATGCCCAAACATAAGGACGTTCAACGGTGACGATCTATCTGCCCGTCTTGCTCTGATCCACTAGCTAGACTCAGTAGGGTGATATCTAAGGCTATCAACCATCTCATTTGGTCTCTTCCCGAGGATACTAATTTCAACTTGAAGTCTCCTAGTGATCTCCTTTCTCGTCTGTCCAAATTCAATTCTTCTGTCAGTTTTGCTGAGGAAGTAGTTTCCGCTAGTTTCGACGTGAAAGAAATGTTCTCCAATCTACCCCATACCTCCATAATTAGGGCAGCAGAATGGTTAGTGTCTTGGTTTGAAGCGGAAGGATATAGTAGAGTCTTGGTTAAGCGTAGAGGGAAAGGTGCAAGGCTTCTCAAAGGAATTAACACACCTGAGGGATGGATGTCGGTAAATCTTTCGAAATTGTTGGGATTTGTGACTTTCGACCTAGCTAACATGTTTACGATGTGCATGGGCACGGTGTTACGACAGACGATTGGCATCCCAATGGGTAAACCAGCTAGCCCGGCGCTGGCCTGTTTGTTGTGTATTCATAATGAATATTGTTTCATTAAAGGGCTAGGCAGTAGCAGCAAGTTGCTTTCGGGGGTAAGGTTGATTGATGACGCCTTGTTTTTTTCCAAGTATGATAAAAGGTCTGCTATTTCGAAGTAGGATCCAGAGCAAAGAATTATTCAGTTCAGTCAAAGTTACGACAGGGAATTGACTTTGGAAATAACAGGAGACGTAGATGTCTAGGACTATTTAGGATGCGTGGTGAAGGTATTTCACGGTCCGGCAAAGGTGTTATGTGCAGTAACGCACAAGAATGAGCCGTACGTGTTGGATGAAGGGTTGATATTCCAGAGTCTGCAGAATTTTTTCTCCTACTCATCTAGACAACAGAAGACGACTGTTATCGTATCATTCTTGCATAGAGCCAGATGCATGAATAGTATGCCAGGGGCGGAGGGTTGTTTTCTGCTCACTTTGAAGGTCGAGCTTCGGCTGAGGGATTTTCCGGATGACTATTTCGACAGATCTTTGAGTAGTTTTTCACGAAGATTCAACCGCCTCTGGGCAAGATGGGTCAGATGCTTTACGAATTGGAAAGGTCATCGGTATAAGCAGATAAGGCCTTTTTTGACAAAGGCCCCTCGCTAATTTGTTCTGCAGTAGGTTATTTCTTCAAGTAAGGGTCCAAGGGGTGTTATGTTTTCTAGAACACGGATATCTACGATTGGACTACCGGGTTCGTAAACGTTTTGTGGGAAGGACTTGATACAGTGAATCCTAGCTAGCAGTTTGAAGACTTTGGTACTTATAGCAGTAGTGCAGTAGTGTTTCGTCATCTGTAGCCAGGATTGACCCCTCAGGAAGACCGGCTGGCGAACCGGTTGAAACGCGCCGTCGGGTCGCGTCGCCGCGCATCGTTATTTTGTCACTCTGTTTATTCAAGCGATGCGCACCTGCGCTCGGATTTTGGTCTATGAATCGTCTTCTTCTTCTCCTTCTCCTTCCTAATCTTCGTCTATCCTACTTTTGTGCTTGTTATGATTGAACACTCTAACGTGCGAACGCGGACCCAAAAAAAAAAAAAAAAAAAAAAAAAAACAGTTTTCAAAAAATTCCGGAAAAAAACATGTGTTATGAAGAAAAATAAACTAAAAAACATTTGCCTGTGCACTACATCCAAATTCTCTACCAAATTTGAAGTAAAAATCAAATACAGAAAATAAACACTATGATAAAAAAAATAAAAATAAAAAGAGAATTAAAATGAGTGAGTGTGCCAGCACCTTTTCGACACCGCCGTCTTTGCTGATTTTTGATTATTTTATGGCATTGACAAATGCCCTGAAAATTTACAGATATGTAGTTTACATAATCAATACCTCATTAAAAAATTTTCAAAAAATAATAAAATGTTTTAGGCACCGAAATAAAGTGAAAACAAAAAGTTAAAAGTGAAACAAAACAAAATAGTGAGTGGGCGAGCACGTTTTGACACCCCCATCTTTGACGATTTTTAATGTTTTTTTGGCTTAGCAGAATGGCTTCAAAATTTATAGGCGTGTAGTTTACATCATAGAGAACTCACAAAAAAAACTTCAGAAAAAGAACTTATTTTTAGACCCCGAAATTGTTTTTGGCGGGGGCCGAACCTGGAGGTGTTCGGCCCCCGAACAGGACCCCGAACGCCCGAACATTCGGGGGCCAGCCTGGGGGCCCCCGAACATTCGGTCCGGTAACCCTGTATATATATATATATATATATATATATATATATTTAAAGTGACCCTTTCACCAGCGCTAGGAATTTCTCACAGGCAATTTGCATGATAACGTTGTGATCAATAGAATCAAAATAGTTAGTTATGTCGCCTTCGATGGCCCACGTTTGGTCTTTTTTGATTCGTACATGGAGGCTCGCAAGCAGGGTCATTTTGAATTTAAATGAAAAATGGACTACATCATTCTCTGAGTTTTTGTTTTGATTGCAATATCAAGTCAATCTGTTCAAAAAATTTAGGATTCAATGATTTCATCTCAGAGATCCAGTGTTGTTGGAATTTAGCGTCTATGCAAAGCAACATCATTTTTCTTAGCATACTTTGAACAGGAATAATTGTCTTAAAATCAATCGAGCAAGCTCACAGGTCGCCTTCGTTTCGATGCGTGTAGTCTTCGTGTCGCCAGGAGAAGTGTGGTGGGGTCAAGTTGTCATTACGAGTTTCCCCAACCCCTTATAATCCGCTGGATCGTGGATGCTAAGCCTTTCGGAGAGTTAGTCAATTCACCGCTTGGTATTTGCATGCGCCAGCAGGGGCACATGCAGGAGGTTGGGGCCAACTGGAATCGAACCCACAAACTCCTGATTGGCACACTGAGCTCTACCCAGTAACCGCCGGCCCCTTTTTCTTCTTTTTTTCCTTTTTTTGGGTCTCACCTCTCCCTTATGGGACCCCCACCTACCCTCCTCTTGGCAATTCTCCCAAGCGCATACAGTGGCCCAGGACCATCACCCTACTGCGATCTTGGCAGGGTGACCTGACCGGTCGAGAGAAGGTTAACAGAGCCCTAAATTTTCAGGGTTTAGGGTTTAGGACCCTTGCTGTTTCAAGCACCATGGCTGAGGAGGAACACCACTCAGCCCTCGTTGACGCAATGTGCAAATGCAGCCTTTTTCTGATGCCTTGATCAGCACCATCAGTCACAGCCCTCATAGAGGATAGAAATCCAAACATTGTCCTGGCAAGTCGACCCTCACAAAAAGAAAAGAAAAGAAAAAAGGGTGGGC